GATCTTAATTATACAAATGAACATATGCAAGTCTAACACGATTAATGAAGTAAAACAATGACCATAATAGTAAGGGGAAGAAGTACAGAGGCCTCAGTCTAACTCAGATGCTCAGATCACTGCAAACTTTTTGGGTCAGTAGGTGGAATGACAGGTTTGAATGTGGTCAGCTAACAAATACTAACCTAGGGGAGTCAGCTGGCGATGGAGATAAATGGCTCTTTGAGGCAGGCCACACACTTTCTCTGCTTTCCCCTTCCTGTTGAGAAGGCACTCTGAGACCTGCAAGCCCTGTGATGCAGCCACTACCACTGGATCCACAAGACTTTACATCCACCGGCCTGTGATCCTCCTGTATTCCCCATCGTTGTACGTGGCTACATGAGTCTGAAGAGAGAGTGGTACCAGACTTATAGACTAGTATTGGACTTATGGACTTGATTTGGATTGGGCTGGGATGTTTGTTTGGTATATAATTATTTGTTGATATAAAGCTCTCTCTTACACATGAGTGTCACTAGGATTTGTTTCTCTAGTCCACCTTGTCTAACACACCTGGCTAGAATGCAGATGCCCTAACTAGCCATTCTTATAGTCTGGCAGCCTAGGGGATACAGAATTGGGGGTGAGGTGACCTGGAAAACTCTGGACTCCTGCATCCCTGAAACTGTCCTCTGAGCACAAGTGGGCGGGGGTGGGGTGGGGTGGGGGTCGGGGGTACTGATCTGTTCGGCACTCTCTCCTGGTGTAACTCAGGCAATGGTTCTCAGGAAAAGCAAACCACAACTCTCCTTGTTCCATGTCTTCCCTTCCTCTTCTCTCCATCACTTTCTCATGTTTGTGGTCAGGCCTGTTGTATGGTTGAGTGGTTGAGTTAAGGGTGGTCCCCAATATAGACGTTTGAGGGCAATGGGCTGCTGGGGTGGGTTGTTACCTGTAGACTGGGACCCTGACACTTTCTAGGGACTGACCCAACCTATGTGTAAACCTAGCTCTGGCTCAGGGACCAGGGATAGTCTCTGATCTTACTCCAGGGCCTAGCTGAAGCTAGGCTTGTGTGGGTCCTGTAGTGAGGCCAAGGGGCGTCTTGCTCATTTGCTCCTGGCGCAGCATACAGACTAGAGGAATATGCCATGGAGAAAGCTGCACTGTTCCACTCCCAATCAGATTTGTAAAATGACCAGACCTGCTCAAGGTCCACTTGGGGTTGTATCTGTGTGATTAGGTTTTCTGGATCTGCAAATGGACGGGCAGGCCTTTGTCCACTGGGACTCCCCATGAAGTCCCTCCTTGAAATGTATCAGTTCCTTCCTCAGGTTCCTGCCTACCTCTTCCATCAAGTCCTTGGCATACCTCATCACCCATCTTGACTCCCAAGTTCCTTCCAGGACAGTGTGTAACCACAACCTGTTGATATGATAGGATCCTCATTTAAAGTGTTGACAATTAATTAAAAAAAAATTTAGGTTATGTTTGGGCCAAACCCCATGTGACCATTGGCTGAGATTGGCTCGAGTGAGCACTGAGAAATTTGTCAGATCATGCCCAGTACTGTCAGCACAGTCAGGGGACCATCGATCACCACCACCACATTTTACAAGTTAAAAGAGATGCTACGTGAGTAGAGTAGGTCACTGGTCCCAGATCAACACCTAATAAGTGGCATTTGACCATTGGCAGCATGGCCACTGTACTTGGGCATCTTCCATGGAAGTCAGAGGTCCCGGAGGGCATATACAAGGCTTAGGAAGCTGGGTGCTGCAGCCGCTGGTGCTCAGCTTCTAACAGGAAGATGGCAGTTTCAACCCACTGAGTGACTCCGGTGAAGAAAGAACTGAAGACTTACTTCTATAAAGATTCAAGCAAACAAATAAAACCCCAAACCCTTTGCTATGGAGTCCATTCTGACCCATAGGCACTCTAGAGAGGGTCTTTGACAGGGGCAGATAAGCCTCTTCTTTCTCCCTCAGATCACCTGGTGGATTTGAACCGCCAAATTTGCAGTTAGTAGCACAACAAGTAACTTAACATACCAGATTAAAAACCCCAAAGACCAAATTCACTGCCATCAAGCTATGCCAACTCAGATTGACCCTACAGGACAGGGAAAACTGCCCCCATGTGAGTTTTTAAGACTGTAACTCCTTAAGGGAGTAGAAAGCTCTATCTTTCTCCTAAGGAGCGGCTGGTGGGTTCAAACTGCTGACCTTGCAGATTGCAGTCCAATACGTAACCACTATACCAGCAGGACACTTAGAAAATGCTACCGGGGAACTTACACTCTGTCACACATGGGGTCGCCATGAGTCAGAATCTGACTTGACTACAGCTAACAACAACAATTGTTGACAAGTCTTAAAATGATAACAATGTCTGGTTTGGGACAAGTTAATTCTGTGTGTCTGTGTAGACCTGTGCTCCATTGGGTTTTCAATTTTTGGTTTCTCAGAAGTAGATCACCAGGCCTTTCTTCCAAAGAGTGTCTGGGTAGATTTGAACCTCAAAATTTTGCGTT